CTCCGGATGGGTGTTTCCTAGGGTGCTTTCCTCCTGGTTAGCAGCGAACTTGTGCGCGTGCTGGGGGGCAGAAGGCTGGTGGGTCGCTGCAGAAGCTGTTTTGGGACTTCAGAAATGTGGTATCCTAAGTGCGAGTGGAGCTGGGAAGGGGAGGGTGTGGCTAGGGAGGTTTGAAAAGCAGCAGCTGGAGGATAAAGGCCATTGCAGAGAGATGAAAACCGAAGACCATACACCTAGTACAAAGCAAAGCCTTAAGTCTTCACCTCTGAAGACTTCACAGAACAACGGAATCACAAATGGGTAGGAGTTGGAAGGGACCTCCGGAGACCATCTAGTCCAACCCTCCTGCTAGAGCAGGATCCCCCCAAAGCACATCACACAGGAACACATCTAGGCAAGTTTTGAGTGTCTCCAGGGATGGAGACTCCACAGCCTTCCTGGGCAGCCTGTTCCAGTGCTCTGATACCCTCTGAATCGAAGAAAATCCGCTCAACAGTCTAAGTGCTGTGAAGTCAGTGTTATTTATTCACGGTACTGGAGGCACAGGGAACAGCTCCTCCTAAATGTTTGTGCCTTACAGGATAAGGTGGGAGGTACATATACAGCTGACACATAATTATGCGTAATATTTCTAAGAAGCAGTTTACATATTCATTAATTTTCTGAGAAAGCCGCCCATTGTCACATGCGTGTTAAGTCCATGAGGGTCTTTTGGGAGTTGTTTATTTCATCCTTGAGTCTTCCTCACAGGAACCTTTGGCCAAATTCAGTCTCCTGTCCCTTTTATCTCTGCTGACTGTGCAGTGGAATTGGCTACAGTAGGTATCTCTTGTTTCAGCTGAATGGCTTCTTTCTTCTTCAAGGATCCTTGTATTTCATTCCCTAAAACTACAGATAAGCTCACACAAAAGGTTTTTACAACTTACAAGCAGTAGGCCCAAATGAAAGATTTACAACCTACAAGCAGTTAACTATTTAAAATCAGTTTGGTTGATGTTCTTTCACCTCAGAGTAAATAAGTATTTTCTTATATTTGAGTTAAACCTCCTGTGTACCAGTTTGTGACCATTACCCCTTGTTCTGTCACTGGACACCACTGAGAAGAGTCTGGCCTCATCCTCCAGACACCTGCCCTTTAAAAGTTTGCAAGCATTGATGAGATCCCCGCTCTATCTCCTTTTCTCTAAGCTAAACAGACCCAGCTCTCTCAGTTTTTCCTCATACTGTAGATGCTCCAGTCCCTTAAACCATCTCAGTGTCCCTGTGCTGGACTCTCTCCAGTTGTTCCTTGTCCTTCTTGAACTGGGGAGCCCGGAACTGCACACAGTACTCCAGATGTGGCCTCGCCAGGGCAGAATAGAGAGGAAGGATAACCTTCCTCGACCTGCTGGCCACTCTCTTCTTAATGCACCCCAGGATGGCACTGGCTTTCTTGGCTGCAAGGGCACGTTGTTGCCTCATGGTCAGCCTGTTGTCTACCATGACTCCCAGGTCTTTTTCCCCAGAGCTCCTTTCTAGCAGGTCACCCCTTAACTTACACTGGTACAGACGGAATACTTTAAATTTGGCCTTGTTGAACTTCATTAGGTTTCTCCCCATCCAGCTCTCCAGCCTGTCCAGGTCATGCTGGATGGCAGCACAGCCTTCAGCTGTGTCAGCTGATCCACCTAGTTTTGTATCATCAGCAAATTTGCTGAGGGTACATTGTGTCCCTTCCTCTGGGTCGTCAGCTTTATACTTCTTTAGGCTCAGTCTGGAGTCCTTCAGTGTGTGATAGCACAAGGGCTGTGAGATACTCAAAGCACCATACCTCTTCTGCCATGAGCAGGGAGGGGGTGATGTTAGCCTGAATCCAGATTTCCTAACTTTCATGTCACAGTTACAATCTCTTTGGGCAGTGCTGAAAGGCTGAGTGTGGTAGAGTACATTTCTGAGCTTGTGGGTGCTTATTTGCATGTTGGGGATGTTTAGTTATTCAGCATGATTGGATGAACATCATGATTTAGTTGAGGTTGGTTAGAGGGACTGAAAAGGTAGCACTTAATATACATGTGAATGAATGAATTCCTGTATTGGATTAGCTATCAGGTCTCATATCCCTGATTTTCAAACATCTTATTACCTTTTTTATGAATTAACTATATGGGGTATATATGGGGTAGAAAAGAGTGTGAGAATAATGACAGCCCTTCCTGCTTATTCTCAGCAGGACCCGCCTTTTGATTCTTGCTCTTTGAGCAGGTTCAGTGCTGGTTGTTAAAACAGATTGGTAGGAAAATGTGTCTTTGGGATTAAGGTCACAGCCAGAATAGGCAGCATCAAGGAGACAGGTTGATCACAGAGGCTTTCTGGTAGAAAGAGAGGAGAGAACTCTGAGGACTCTCATAATGGCCTTTTCATTACCTGCTGTGCCATACCTGAACTGCAGCCTTTCCTGCAGCAGCTCCCGTGGTAGAAGACCCTCTAAGGCAGATGGGGCCTATGGCCGTAACAGTGGCTGGCCACAAAGCCAGACCTCCAGATCTGCCTCAGCAAAAGGGGGGAAAGCAAGTTGTGTGCATGGGCTGCTCCAACAGTGCTGTGTGTTTGGAGTGTCTTGAGCAACGTCATGCTTGTGCCAAGGCCTGGGAGTAAGCTGTGTCGGTTTGTTACCTAGCTGAGGGCTTGCAGTTCAATTTAGCTGCCTTGTGTGCATCTCATTTCTGGGGGGTGAAAACAGTCACTTTTCTGATTCATGCTGAATGTCTCCCAGAAGTAGTCTGGTAGCAGTCAGGGAGAGCTGTCATGGTTTTGACCAGCTAAGGGTCTCATCACCTTTTGCTTTTAATATTACAGCAAATGGTTCTTACGTATGGCTTCCACCCCTTAAAAACACTTAATACACTCACAGAATTTTGTGCCATTTCCAGAAACAGAGACAAGCATGTAGGAGCTGCAGAAACTTGCCCCAGCTTATTGTTAGCACTAAGTGGGAGAAAAAGTCTGGCTCTGATGAAAGCTCCCACTTTCGTCTATTGTCACGTCTCTGGAATCAGCAGCTCTAAAAGATGTAAAACTGGGAGGAAAAAAGACATCTCCTTTCTCCCCAGGTAAAGCTTCAATAATAGGAAACACCAGACCTGAAAACTTTACATTGAAGTTTATTATGTGTATAAATTATATAACCAGACAAGAGAATAACACTGTATCTTCAACAACCGTCTTCTGCTTTTTAAAAAACAAAAATGATTGGAAAAAAGAATTAACAAAGGCCTCCTAGTGTCATATAAAACAGTGTATAACCCACAGGCGCACCGTGGCCCCACAGTAAAAGTGATCACAGCATTATCTAGCAGTATAGAAACTGAGCAAACAGAGCTCTGGGGAGCTTTGTTTTCCTGACGAGACACAGACATCAAAGCTGCGTTTCTGATCCTGTAGAATTTTTGCAGGCACTCTGTAAAGCAATGACAGCTCTTGGCCATTGTTGTTAGCCTTTTCTACCCTTAGATTCTGGTGATAAAGTTAGTCTCTGAGAAGAGCTTCCACCAAGCACAAGAGAGACTTTGCCTGAAGCCTCTTACAGCACTCTCTGATTTCTGGGGAGAAAAGTCTCTCAATATTAGTGGCAGAGCCAAGATCACAGTACCCAGTCAGGGGTAATTTCCTCACAAGGACTGGGGAAGGTGGATTAGTTCAGAGTGAGGGAAGGCACGACAAAAGGTGAAGGTCCTGCTCTTTCACATGGCAAATAAGCCCACGGCAACTGTTGTGGCTAGGAAGCTGAGCGCCAGGATCCACCGCACCAAGGGAGTGATGGGCATCATGCCTGTGTGTCTCTTGTTTGTCTTCTCACTTTCTTTCCCAGGCATTGGACCTAGATAAAATAGGAAGGGGAAAAAAAAAAAGGGGGGGGGGGAAAACAGTGGGTGAGAAAAGTTTGATGCAAGAAGCTGCCTGTATGCCATGCTTGCTCTCCCTAGTGCCAGAGTAGATGCTGCTGGAGTTGTTAAAGGGAGGAGGAGGAAGCCCAGAGTCCCAGCTGGACTGGGGGAAACAGTGGGAGCAGGTTCTGCTCTCCTGGGGTAGGTGAAGAAGGGAAGCAGCAGCCTTGACCTCGGAAGCACAAAGGCTCACAACCCCTCTGTATGTGAGTAGAGACCTC